AAATAGAATATTTACATATATACATAGAAGAGAGACTCAATACTAACTGACTGACTGTCTATGAAGCCTCTAAAATACTGAGATGGATGTTGGGACAGACCCCGCAACATCCTACTAAAACAAAACTAAAAGAACAGAACAACCGAGTTCTCCGGAAAGCAAGGAGGCTCACCACTGACTCTGGAGTGCTCAACGGCGTGTTGGATGCTGATCCTGGGTACCTGCGTCTGCATCGTCAAAAGATGCAGGCCAACTGGCATCAGTACATGGAATGTACGAGTATGCGAGCTGGACCGCTAAACAACAACTTAAGCTTGAAAGGGATGCAGAAGAGAACTTACCTTGGCTCTGTTCAACTCATGAATAACTGAACTCAATAGAAAGCAATAAGACACATGCAATATATATAAAGCTTGTAAAACTATTTAAAACATGACGTAAAAATCATATTTATAATATCATGAAAATACCATGCTTCCTCTCAAAGTCTACTTGTGCAATGCATGAATGAAGTCCCATACCCCCATCCATACTAAGCAGAACTTATCGAGGAACCAAGCTCTTTCTACTGTTGTAGGAGTTTCTCTAACCGATAACCACCACTATGAAACTAAGTGGTGATACAACGTTTTTACCTCACGTTGCCCAAGGACCATCCTATACCTTGCCGTGATATATGACCTTACTTTTGCTTAGTGGATCCGCTAGCTTAACTTTCGTGGTCATCTAAAAAGTATGACCCGAGAAATCCCATGTTGGCTACATGGTTCTATGGGGGCTGTGAGTTCTTTGAACGCTCCCCCAATTTGGTGCTCAAGACTACTCCCAAAAATACTTTAGCTCATAAGTGTTTTAAACACATCTTTCTTTAGTTGAGATAATTACTCAAAACTTAGCCCAAAGGCACTTGAAAACTCTTTCTAAAAAGAACAAATCAAAACCATATTTTTAATATGATCATTGATGACTTGGGATATTCATACTGCTTAAACATTGATGGTATATCTAGAGACCATACTGTTTAAACATTGATGACATACTCGATTTGTCATACTAATCATGTTTTAGAAACTCCTTTGAAAAACTCATCTTTTTTTTAAAAAGAGATGGTGCTCAAACTTCTCAAAACTCTTTTGGAAATCTCAGTTTCCTCTCAACTTAAATGTGAAAACACTTATAAACTTCTTTGGGAAATACTTAGTTCCCTAATTACTTTTGAGAAATGAACTCAACTCTTGACTCTTGACTTAACTCGAAACTCTTGACTTAACTGAAAACTCTTGAGTTAACTTGAAACTCGATACTCTTTACTCGACTTGAAACTTGAGACTCGTTACTTAGCTTGAAACTCTATACTCTTTGCTTGACTTGAAACTCTATACTCTTTGCTTGACTTGAAACTCTATACTTGACTTGGAAACTAACTTCACTTGAATTGGAATTATGAATTCAAGGTGTTTGATCACATGTTATGGAGGGATTCTTGATGTTTAGACGTACTTTGGAGTGTCGGAAACAACTATGAAACATAGGTATAATACCTAGGAACATGCATGAAAAAGTGTTAAAAGAATGGGGGTACTTGGCGTCCTTGGCGCTCTGAGAGGCGCGGGGCGCCAGCCCTTGGAGCTCAAAAGGACTGCTGTGGCGCTCTGAGAGACGTGCCACGCCAGGGGTAAAACATAAGAACCCCTGTTGGGGCGCGCTGGCTGGCGCGACTCCCCAGCCTTTTCCCCCAAAAATCCGACTCTTCTCCTTCATTTTTCCAACTCTAAACCTCCTTAACTTCAAGGTTTCCAGCCCCAAACACTTAGAATCATAAATACCTCAACATACAATAGATTTCAACTCACAACACAACCGGAAACATGCCCAAAAATCAACAAGAACTTCAACACAATCACAACCACAACTTCAACAAATACAACCAACAACTTCAACAAACCTAATCAATCTTTTCTCACTAAAAAAAATGAGTTTGGCGTGTGGGGGAAAGAGCCAACCAACACTATAAACTCACATACCTTAATAGGGATCACCCCCGATGAAAATCCACGACGATCTTGACGAATCTTTGCTTCTTCTTCTCTTTTCTCCTCTTCTTCTCCTCCTCTTCTCTTCTCTCAAGAACCCTAACTCTCACTCTTTTAAAATGGGACAAAATGATCCAAAACTCAGTCTAACACCTCAATATAACCCAAAGAAATGGCTAGGGAAAAGACCAAAATGCCCTTACAATTTTCCGGACGGATTTCCCTGCCAACTGCCCAACTTCCAAAGGGCATAACTCACTCATATGAACTCGGAATCGAGCAAACTTGGTGGTGTTGGAAAGATAATTCCATGAGCTTCGCAATCATAACTGGAACTACACCTAAATCATCCTGAACTAGGAGTTATGGCTGTTCCAAGTTGGCCAAAAACTCACTTTTTCCCATACTTGGCCAATTTTCCAGATTTTTAAAATTCTTTCCAAAAATGAAAATTTCCAATTCTAAGCCTCTTCAATTATTTCACATTGCCGGATGTTACAATTTATTTGAGTCAAGATCCTTGATTGACAGATAGTCTTCAATTTGCCTTTAATGTGATTTCTTTCGTATTTCGATTGATGAGGGATCCATGATTCATTCTTGATGACGATTATTGTCCTGGAAAAATAGGTTGTTTATCATTAAAACTTTACACTAACAATGACATCAAATCAGTGATTTGATGATTTCAATAGGTTCAAAAAGTGTTTTATAGTTGATTGACATATTTAGTTTATGTCTGGGAGTTCTTAAATGAGTTTCAAGTACATGTTCAAAGATTGATATTTTGATATTGTTAAGATTAAATGGTACCAGAAGAATCCAATGAGTTCCAAATGGTGTTTTAATTGAACCATTAGATCCGTATCGTAATTTTAGAATCATAACATAAAAATATTGTCACAATCCAAAAATGGATGTGATGACATTTGTCTATTTCCACCAAGACATATCAGCCTTAACCCAACGAAACGAAAGAAATGTGGAAAGTAAAACAAGAATAACATAAGAGCTGAAAACATATTAATTCTATTATAGCCCCAAAACCTGGTTGTCACGTGTACAAGTCACTAATATAAAAAGTGCAGAATTGAAAGATAAATACAAGTCTCAATATCTTTGTTTCTCAATTACATGGGTGGAGATACAACCCAGTGAAGGTGGTCAGCCGAACACTCTTCTTCGGAAAATTAGACTGTGTATATAGATAAAATATTCTCTAATATTTGGATATATTAAAAAATGAACAATCTTAGAGACAACAAAGGTTGTTAGTTTGATGGTAAGCATAATCATTCAAGTCTCTAAGATCTTGTGTTCGATCCTTGCCTGCTCTTTTTTAAACACAATACTTTTTCTAAAAAAATAAATAGAAATAGCCACACCTGTATCTTTATGTTTCTAGCCTTAAACCCCGTATCCATATTTAGTGAATTATTAGGTATAACACACTCTCAAGAAATTATTTTTAAAGATAAAAATTAAAGATTATTTTTTCACTATTATTCTTTTGATTATTTCTAAATTATTCTTTTAGAAATTATAAAATAGTTAAGAATCTTATTAAAAGAAATGGTAAATATGGAAAAAAAAGTTTCAACAATTCGCTTGAACTTTGAAAACTTCAGTTATTTTGAATTATGAAAAAAGTCTCAACAATTCACTTAATATGAACTAGAGGGAGTATATTCAACTAGTAGCTAAAATTGTTTTGGTTGACTTTTCTCTGTTAGTTTTAATTTTATAATTTTAGGTATTCATATGATTTGGTTATTAAATGATATGCAATTTAATTTTTAAATTTGGATGCACTGAATCATCAGTAAAAAATATAAATTGTGCACCCACTCCGCTAAAAGAATTTTATTTACTCTTTTAAAGTTTGAACACCCTTGACAAAGTTTCTAGCTCCGCCACTATTCTTAAATAGAACAAAGAATAAGGTAAGGAACAAAAGAAACCAGGGGGATGACAAACAACTACCTCTAAAAAATTCTTTGACAAACTTCAAAAATAGGAGAAGTAGAAAAGCAATCACACGGTATCGAACTCAGAACCTACACAAGTGTAGAAGCAAGGAGCGAGTATCAACCACACGGTATTCAGTAAGTAACCAAATAAACAAGGAAAAAGTAGCTAGAAAATGATTACTCCTTTTATCCCAACCAAACCTCCTCAAACTACAACCTACATAGAAATTAGACTAACCTAACAATTTCACAATGCGTCATAGTTCACAAGGCTTAACAACAACAATTCAATAGTCATAGTTCAATAACCAACACGTATCAAGTATGCCAATCACAAGTGTCAAACATATCAATTATAAATATCAAGTGCATCAATCACAATTAACAAGAAGATCAATCACAAGTAGCAAGCTCACAAAGATTTGGTGGATGGATAGATTTTAATGTTAACAGTTTTACTATACTTGGAGTCTGTTTAACCAAGTTTGTTTTACCTAGTCTTTGGGTAGCTAACTCCTAACTTATAGGAGAGAATAACTAGCAGTTATTTAGGAATAAGTTAGCGTAAATTTTGGTTACGTTGTTATGTTTCCAGCCTACATATAGGTAGCTTTATTTCCTTCAATAAGACGACATATTAGAATTAATAGTTTCTCATCTTTTATGTTCTGTGTTTCTCTATTTCTCTATTTCATTCAATAATTGGTATCTGAGCCTGACATAAGTGTATAGAAGACTTTAGCCATAACTTTTCTAAACACTTATATTCTTCCTGATGTCATCAGAGAACTTCGTTCAACCTTCCATCCCTCATTTTGATAGTCATTATGACCATTGGTGTATGTTGATGGAAAACTTTCTGAAATTAAAGGAATACTGGCAAGTAGTTTCAGAAGGTATACAACAATTGGAAGCTGGTGCAACAGAAGCGCGTAAGGTAGAGATAGAAGGAGTGAAATTAAAATATCTAAAAGCCAAAAACTATTTGTTTTAGGCTATGGATCGTTCAATCTTGGAGACAATTCTTTGCAAAGACACCTCCAAGCACATATGGGATTCAATGAGAAGGAAGTATCAAGGTTCTACCAAGACTAAAAGACAACAACTCCAGGCCCTTCGCACTGAATTTGAGACGTTGAAAATGAAGTCTGGAGAATTAATTACAGATTACTTCTCAAAAGTAATGACCATTGTCAACAAGATGAGGTTACTAGGTGATAAATCAGATGATGTAGCTATTGTAGAGAAGATCTTGAGATCAGTAACACCAAAGTTTAACTTTGTTGTTTGTGCCATCGAGGAGTCACATGATATTGACAAGCTATCACTGGACAAACTGCAAAGTTTGTTGTTAGTTCATGAGAAGAAGTTGATCCAACCCGAACAAGAGGAGCAAGCTCTTCAGGTTTCAACTCCAACAAGTAGGCGTGATAAGAAGGAAACGAAGTGATACAAAGATGCTTAGACAAATACCAATGGCCAGAGAAGGGAAAGAGGTCGCGGAAAATATTTCCAGACCAACCACAAAGGAGGAGCAAGAAATAAGGCACATATTGAGTGCTACATGTGTCATAAATTTTGCCATTACAGGTCTGAATACAGAACAAATATGTCAAATAAAAGAGGTGAATCGTCCAATTTTGCGGAACAAGAAGAGGAAGAGATATCACTTATTACTAGTAACGAAGAAGGAGATTACCAGAAATCAGTGGTACTTAGACACGGGATGGAGCAATCATATGATTGGTGTCAAGGAAGCTTTCTCAACCTTGGATGAAACTTTTAGAATCAAAGTGAGGTTTGGAGACGACTCAAAACTTCCAGCAATGGGGAAAGGTCAGGTTAGAGTACATACAAAAGAAAATGGAATACATATAATTTCTGATGTATTTTATGTGCCACACTTGAAGACTAATTCGCTCAGTATTGGGCAATTACAAGAAGAAGGGTACGAGTTGAATATAAAGAATGGGAAGTGCAAAATTCAAAATGCTAAGCTTGGATTAGTGGCACAGGTAAATATGACTGCCAATAGAATGTTTCCGCTTGACTTTAATCATATTGAGCAGTCATGTTTAACTGCTCAACTGATGAAGCAGCATGGCTGTGGCATTTTTGATATGGCCACTTAAATGTTGAACGACTTAAAATCCTTCAACAAAAGAACATGGTCACTGGTCTTCCAAAATTCCAGAAACCTTCCATCTTTTGTGAATATTGTGTCATCGAAAGCAACACACATAATCTTTTCCAAGAGGTAAAACACAAAGAGCAAGTGCGGTACTAGAAATTGTTCATTCTGACATTTGTGGACCGATTAGTCCAATTTCAAATGGAGGAACAAGGTACTTTGCAATTTTTATTGATGATTACAGTAGGGAAACTTGAGTTTATTTTCTTGGAGAAAAGTCTGGGGTCTTTGAAGAATTCAAAAAGTTTAAGGCAGTAGCAGAAAATGAAGAAGGAAAGTCTATTCAGGTGTTGCGCATGGATAGAGGTGGTGAGTATGACTCACATAATTTTTTAAAGTTTTTTGAGTTGTATGTCATTAAAAGATAGAAAAATGCAGCCTAAACTCCGCAACAAAATGGAGTGAGCGAGAGGAAGAATAGAACAATCATGAATATGGTAATGAGCATATTGGTAAGAAGCAAAGTACCAAAGAAGTTTTTTCCTGAAGCAACAAACTGGAGTATACTTATTTTAAAGAGGAGTCCAACTTTTGTTGTGTGTGATACAACACCAGAAGAAGCTTGGAATGAGAGAAGACGATGTAAGTCATTTTAAAAATTTTGGTTGTGTTTGCTATACCCATGCACCAGATCAGAAAAGGAAGAAATTAGATGATAAAGGTGTGTGTTTCTTGGAATATAAAATTGTTCAAAAGCTTATAAATTGTATAATCCCACCAAATATAAGATTATTGTTAGCAGGGATGTGATTTCCTCTCAAGAAGAGTTTTGGCAGTGGGACGGATGAGAAGCTAAGAAACTTACACCAACATATTTTGATGATAAAGAACAAATCAACAGTCAGCATGATCCAGAATAGATACAAGAGGTTGAATCTTCACATCAAGATTCAAGTTCTTCTGGGGTTCAAAGAGAACTAAGGCAGAGAAAGAGACCAGCTTGGATGAGTGATTATGAGGTAACTGGTATTGACACCATAAGTAATTTTTGTTTACTTGCAGAATGTGAACCAGTTAGCTTCGATGAAGCAGTCCAGCAACCAAACTGACAGAAAGCAATGGAAGAGGAAATATCTTCCATTGAGAAGAACAGCACCTGGGAACTTACAACACTACCAGAAGGTCAAAAGAGCGTTGATATAAAATGGGTGTTCAAGAAAAAGTTGAAAGAAAATGGAGATATAGACAAATACAAAGCAAGACATTGCAAAAGGGTACAAGCAAGAGTATGGTGTGCATTATGTTGAAATGTTTGCGCCTGTTGCAAAACATGACACAATCAAGATGATTTTGGGATTGGCGTCTCAAAATGGATGGTAATTGTATCAACTAGATGTAAAATCAACATTTTTACATGAGAACTTAGAAGAAGAAGTGTATGTTGATCAACCTCCCGGCAATATCAGGATTGGTGAAGAGCACAAGGTGTATAGATTGAAAAAGACATTATATGGATTGAAACAAGCGTCAAGAGCTTGGTACAGTCGCATAGATGCTTATTTCATGTAGTAAGGTTTTCAGAGATGTCCATATGAGCAGACTCTTTACATCAGGTACAATAAAGGTGATATTCTCATTGTCTGTCTATATGTTTATGATTTAATTTTTACTGGAATCAGTGTGGCTATGTTTAAGCAATTTAAGGAATCCATGATGAAGGAGTTTGATATGACTGATTTAGGAAGAATACATTACTTCCTCGGATCAATGGTTATCCAATCTAGTGATGGGTTCTTCATTTCTCAAAGGAAGTATGTGCAAGATTTGTTGATCAAGTTTCAGATGGAGAAGTGCAACCCGATTTGTACACCAATCCATCCTAGCTTGAAGTTAGATAAGGATCCAGATGGCAAGGTTGTAGATGGAACTTACTATAAGAAACTAGTAGGAAGTTTGATGTATCTCAGAACAACTCGGCCAGACATAATGTATGCTGTCAGCCTTATTAGCAGATACATGGACAATCCTAAACAATCTCACCACCGAGCTGCTAACCACATTTTGAGGTATTTGCAAGGCACAATCAGTCATGGTTTGCTGATAAAAGGGAAGGAAGTTCACTGATGATGGGGTTTACAGATAGTGATTATGCGGGAGATCGAGATGATAGAAAGAGTACTAGTGGTTTTCTATTAACTCTGGGATCAAATGCCATTTCTTGTCATCGAAGAAGCAGACTATTGTAACTTTATCCACCACAGAAGCAGAGTTTGTTGCTGCAACAACATGTGCATGTGAAGCCATCTGGCTTAGGAAGTTGCTTGAGGAAGTTCACTGCAGGCAAGCTTATGTTACTCCCATATATTGCGACAATATCTCAGCCATCAAACTGTCCAAAAATCCGGTATTCCACGGAAGAAGCAAGCACATAGATGTCACACCCCAAGACTACACCCTGGGTGGGATTGGCACTCGAGAACCATTGTTGGCCCCCAGCGAACCCTTGGCCTGGCTTACTTACTCAGCGGAAGACTTTTACTCAACGAAGATAAATATATGTAATAAACTAGAATGTTATAAAGGAACATTCAACTGACCAATAAGGCAAATTCAAGTCTCAACATAATAGAATGAAAATGAAAAGACTAAAGAACTAACATCTGACTGTCTATGAAGCCTCTAAACAACTGAGATGGATGTCGGGACAAGACCCACGACATCATAATGAACTAAAATACTGAAAGCAATAAAAAAAGGATCCTCCGAAAATCAAGAAGGCTTACCACATGACTCTGAATGCTCAACTGGATCAACGAAGCATTGGATGCTGATCTTGGTTACCTGTATCTGCATCATAAAAAGATGCAGGCCAAATGACATCAGTACATTAAATGTACGAGCATGCGAGGGGAAATCTAAACAAGACATAAGCTTGAAAGGAACTAAAAGAACAAACCTGGTCTCAACTGAACTGAACTTATTTCAATATAAAGCAATAACAAACAAGTGCAATATAAAGAAAAGCTTTTTTAAAACATGGATAACAACTCTGTGTATTTAGAAATACAATAGTGACTCTGTATGTATGCAAAGATACAATATAAACTCTGAAATGTATATAAAAATACAAAATACTGTTGTGGGAGTTTCTCTAATCGACAACCATCACTTAAGAGTTATTGTGATGATACAACGTTTTGCCTCACGCTTCTAGGGCCGTCCTATACCTTGCCAAGGGTATAGAACCTGACTACTAAGTGGATCCACTAAGGCTGGCAAGGGGACGGGGACGGGGACTGGGGGACGGGACGAAGGGGGACGGGACGGGACGGGGGACGGATCTGGGGGGATTTTGGGGGGACCGGGATTGGGGGGACAAAAATAAGTCCCATCCCGTCCTACTATATATACGGGATGGGACGGGTTTTGGGGGGACGGGACGGGACGGGACGGGGGATTTTTTATTTTTTATATACTTATTTATTTGTATTGAAATTATATGTTATTGAATAACATTTTTAGTTTATTTGATTTTTTTTCAATAACATTTTTAGCAAATAAATAATGCTTAAGTTTTCAAATTTCAAAATTCAAATTTCAATTTCAAACTTCAAATTTCAAACTTCAAATTTCAAATTTCAAATTTCAAATTTCAAATTCAACTTTCAAATTTCAAATTTCAAATTCAACTTTCAAATTTCAAACTTCAATTTTCAATTTTCAATTTTGAAATTACAAATTTGAGAAGTTCAAATTTGTCTTTTAAATATTTTAAAGTAATTTAAACTTGAAATTTTGATTTTGAAGAAAAGGCCCCAAAAAAGGACGTTATGTGCAATACTTTGAATTTTCCTTCTTTTTTTTTTTTTTTTAATAATCTAGGTGTTAGTTGATGTATTAAAGTTCCATTTTTTAACATTTGTTCCTTATTATAAAATTTTGTAATAGCTAGTTCTCTTTTTATTATGTTCAACTATTTTCAAACAAATTAGTATATATGTAAATATGTATGAATATATTAAAATTAAAATGCAAGACAATAGTTATATAAAAAAGACTTAATAAAGCCTTCAAATTTATTCAATAAAATCTAATTGCAACTTAGAACTTAGAAGTTACAATTTACAAATATTAGTGGAGTAACTAATCTACGCAGCCACCTTCTAGGAAGGGTTCTGTTTCAATAAGTTCTCATATGTAAAACTAATATTTGTTACAAATATTAGATGAGTAACTAATTTACGCAGCCACCTTCTAGGAAGGGTTCTGTTTCAATTAGTTCTCTGATGTAATCTAATATTTGTATTTTCCTTTAAAATTCAATTCTAATTGTCGCATCATATCGACGGTAACATCCTCCGGTGTTGGCAAACTTGCTAGAAACTCTTGTGACTCTAATTCATCATCACTAGATCCAAGTACCGCATTAATCCAAGCTTCTTGTTTGGAACTTAACTTTGGCAAATTATCATTTCTCCTTTCGGCGTTGACCCAATCTCTAAATAAAACTGATATTTCCAAACTATCTTCCGCCAATGAATGTCTATGATCGCCAAGTTGAAACCTTGCCGCACTAAAAGCAGCCTCTGATGCAACTGATGAAGCTTGAATAGCTAGAACATCACGAACCATTTTGCTTAAAATTGGAAATGCAACGCTCCGCCTCCTCCACCATGCTAATAAATCTTCATTGCCATCTTCGTCTTCCACTGTTTCTAAAGATTGATTAAGATATTCTTCAAAATCATCACGGTTAGTAGAATTAAGACCAAGAAAATCTCGCATATAACTTGAAATTCGAGCTTTACTCTGAGGATTAGAAGTTTGACCAACTTCTTGAATATTTCCTGTAGTTCTATATTTTTCATACAAAATTTTTGCTTCTACTTTTATGCTACACTTACACATTTGACTAGTTGGATTTATTTCCGGTGAAATTTCTAAGGTATTATAAAAAGTGTCAACAAGTCCCTGCACACCTTGTAATTTATAGTCAGGATGAAGTAAAGTAGCAGTTAAAAAAATTTGAGGAATAGGAAAAAAATATTTTTAAAATTTTTCAATCATACCTTCAATTGCAACTCTAAATTTTTCAATATTTTTGTATTTAGAAAATTGAATTGAAATAGCACAAATATTTATTAATACTGATGAAATAGTAGGATAATAAATTCCAGAAAACATGGTTGTTGCATCATAAAAAAGTCTTAAAAATTCTAATAGTTCATTACTTTCTTCCCAATCTTCTTCACAAATTCTGTCTAATGGGTCAGCATTATGAGCATTAAACACCATTTGTATGGGTCCTCTATATTCGTAAGCAACTGAAAGCATTTCGTAAAAAGAATTCCACCTTGTTTTAATATGTCTTGGAATTTTTCTTGGTGGCAAATCACATAGTACACAACGCTCATTAAATTCCCTAATTCTAGCAGGTCTATTAGCATAAAAAATCCAGGCAACAGCATATTCAATTTTCATACAACCACATTCAAATAATGAAATACCATCTTGTACAACTAAATTTAATACATGTGCAACACATCTAACATGAAAAGAATTATCATCAATTGGACATAATCTAATTTTTAACATACTAGCAGCGTTTACATTATTAGATGCATTATCTAATGCGACAGACAATACTTTATCTATAAGCATGTAATAATCTATAACACTCAAAATATTTGAAGCTAAATATGCACCAGTTTTTTTCTCTACACATTCTTTATAACTTAAGATTCTTTTTTGTAAATTCCAGTTATGATCAATCCAATGTGCTGTAACAGTTAAATAATCACGTCCATTAACACTACGACCCATGTCCGAAGTTATAGACACTCTACAATCTAATATGCTAAACACACAACGAAGATATTGACAATGTTTACCTTGATATACAAAAACATCAGATTTAACAGTTTTTCTTGAAAAACCTCTATAATTAGGATTATAAGTTTGTTGAATATATTCAATAAAACCGGGATGTGAAGGAAAACTATAAGGTAAACCACAAACAGAAACCATTTTAGCTAAATTTTCACGATCTCTTTCCTTATTATATTTACGTTGTGTTAGTGGACCACCGGGGTTAGAAGGATCTAATGTTCCTTGAACCATGTTAGAAGCCCCTACCGATTCATTAACATTAATATCAAAATCATTAACTGGAATTCCTTTTTTTCTATTGGCTAATGATTTAGCTTCTTTATATTGAATCGGCACACAAGATAACAAATGTCTATTTAAGCCCCCCGTCCCACCTTGACCTCCACCTTGTTTATGTTTAAAAGGTTGCTTACATTTATTACAAATAGCAATAGAATTTTCCTTATCTAAAGTCATAAATTGCCACACAACAGAAGTTTTAGGGCGTTGATACTTCACCTTCTCCCTTGTAGGAGGTATAAGGGGTGGGCGTCCATAATTTTGCTCCGTTGAATATGTAGTTTCATTTGGAACATTTGTCACCGGACTAGTAGGTGTATCTTCTAATTCATCTTCTCCCGAACCAACTTCTACTTCTTCACCTGAATTTTCATCAAGATAAGGATTATCACCATAAATTTGTTGTAAAAGTTCATGATCGAGTTGAGCATTTGAATCAATATCATAAGAAGTATTATCAACATAAGTAGAATCATTTGTATTAAATCTAACTCTAGAAGTACCACCACATTTACTCTTATTTTTTTCCTTACTACTTTTTTTAGTAAAATTAAATAATCTACTAATGACACTTGGTTCCTTCTCTTTTCCTTTACCGGTATCTTTTTTGTTAGAACTCATATTTAATTATATGTAAAGTATAATATAAAAATAATAATAACACAAAAATTAATGACGAAAAATAAAATATAAATATTATGAAACGAATGTACCAAACGTCTGCGTTAATAGCAGACGTTATAACCGATTCTTGAAGCTTGTAGTTTGTTGTAACTTGTAACTTGTAACTTGTAATTTGGAACTCCAATATTTGATAGCAAATATAATATGAAAACTTAGATATATATATATTATGATATATAATATGAAAACTTAGAATTGAAATATATGTATTATGATATAATATGAGACTTAAATGAAATAAAATATTGAGATTTGAGACTTAAGATTGAGAGTTGAGAGTTGAGACTTGAAAGAATATAAAAAATAGATGAGAGAATATATAATTTTGTAAGAAATAATAAGGGATAGAGGGGTATTTATAATATTAAAAGTGGGTTAAAGTGTATTTATAATAACTTGAGGGTTTAAAGTAAATTATTAAAAGTAGGGGTGGTAGGGGGTGGTAGGGGGTGTTGGTTGGGGGAAAAAACTGCCAAAATATCCGTTGGGGGGGCCCACTAGCCGTTGCCCAACAGATAGAATTTTTTTTTTTAAAAAAAATAAAATAAAATTGTTAGGGGATCCCGCGAACCGGCCGGTTCATCCGGGCCGGGTCGACCGGGACCAATGGATGAACCGGACCGGTACCGGTCCCCTATCCCGAAAATCCCCCATCCCCCTTCTTTAAACGGGACCGGGTCCGGCGGGCCGGTTCTCGGACCGGTCGCGGGCCGGGGCGGGCCGACCCGGTCCCCCTGCCACCCCTAGGATCCACTAGTCTATGCTAAAAAGCACTAAGGAATCATCTAAAAAGTATGACCATTTTCTACCCATGGTGGCTACATGGTTTATGGGGGCTGGGAATTGTCTGAACTCTCCCCCATATCGGTGCTCAATATTACTCCCAAAATATACTAGCTCAATATGTTTAAAAACATAACTTTGTGGTTTGAGATAATTTATCAAAACTTAGCTCAAAGACTCTCTTGGAAATCAAAGTTTCCTCTCTTGCTTAATTGTGAAAGCATTTACTCTTTACTGAAAAACTAGCTCAAAGGCTCTTTTGGAAGTCAAAGTTTCCTCTTTTGTTTAAATGTGAAAACATTTTATCCTTTTGGGAATAAATAATCCCCATATACTCTTTTGAAGAAATGAACTTCAACTCTTACTCTTTACTGAACTCAAAACTCAAGTCTTAAAACAAAGTTATAACGTTTGTAAAAGACTTTTGGAAAACTCTATGAACTTCTCTTGACTTGACTCTTAACTTCCCTTGAATTGAATTATGGATTCAAGGCCCATGATCTCATGTTATTGATGATCTCATGTTGTTTAGACGTACCTTAGAATGTAGGAATCAACTAGGAAACATAGGTACGTTACAAGGGAACTAGAACGGAAGGATGTGGGAAAAAGTAAAAGACCTGGCATCCATGGCGCTTTGAGTGGCGCGGGGCGCCAGACCCAAAACTTCAAAATTGAAGTTGGGGCATGCTGGCTGGCGCGGCGCTCCAGGGGCAAAACTTCAGAACCCAAAGTGGGGCGCTCTGGCTGGCGCGGCACCTCAGACCCCTGCTCAGAAAACTCCAATTTTTCTTGGTCATTTTTCAACTCTAAAACCTCTAGTTTCGATTGGTTCTTTCCCCCAAACACTTAGATTCGACTACATAACCAAAATATGCAAGAATCTACTCAAAACGACACCTAATTTCATGAATTTGAATCAACAACTCCTCAACAATTTCAACGAATCAAGAACTCAATAGAACTTCAACCAAACCCATCAAGAACTCAATTTCTAAACCTTCAAGAACATAAATCCGCTGAAATAAATCATGATTGGCACGTTGGTAAACTAGCCCAACGCTATGTGATCTCACATACCTCGTAGGGATCATCCCTTGACGAAATCCACGATCTTAGCTTCAAGAACTTGACGATTCCTTGTCTCTTCTCCTCTTTTCTCCTCTTCTTTTCTCTTCTCTCAAAACCCTAACTCTTTTTGATGAAACGTAAACTGAACCAAATCAGTTTAGACCTCATCTTAATTACCAAAAACGAAATTAAATAATTGGGTAGTGAAAAGACCATAATACCCTTCTAAAATCTGGTTTTGACTTTCCTTATCTAGACAACCCAACTTCAAATGGACACAGCTCCCTCATACGAACTTAAAATTGAGCAAACTCAGCGGTGTTGGAAAGATAAATCAAAGATCTTTCCTACGGTATTTGGTAGCACACCTAAATCATCCTGAGCTAGGAGTTATGGTCGTTTGAAGTTGATCCAAAACTCAAACTTAACATAACTTAACCAATTTTCCAGATTTTTCATTCTTTCCAAAAATGACTATTTCTAATTCTAGCTCTTTCTAGTTGCGGGGTGTTACAATAGATGTAAGGTATCATTTCTTAAGAGATCTTACAAATGATGGTGTAATTGAGTTGCGTTATTGCAAGAGTCAAGACCAAGTAGCAGATATCTTCACTAAGGCTTTGAAGAAGGAAAGTTTTCTCAAGTTCAGAAGAATACTCGATATCTACTCATTTGAAGAAGTTGGATCTGTAAACTGTGTTAGAAACATCAGTTTAAGGGAGGGTTTGTTAACAGTTTTACTATACTTGGAGTCTGTTTAACCAAGTTTGTTTTACCTAGTCTTTGGGTAGCTAACTCCTAACTTATAGGAGAGAATAACTAGCAGTTATTTAGGAATAGGTTAGCATAAATTTTGGTTACGTTGTTATGTTTTCAGCCTACATATAGGCGGCTTTATTTTCTTCAATAAGACGACATATTGGAATTAGAAGTTTCTCATCTTTTATGTTCTGCGTTTCTCTATCTCTATATTCCATTCAATATTTACTTGTGTTATTCATTAGTTTTGGGGGCATTGGTTAATTCTATTTATCTTGTTAAATTCACGTTTTATTTGCAAATGTTGTTCAATTGTTCAGAAATTTTGCCGGATGCGCACAACTTGATACTATATTCACACTATCTATCTTGTTAAATTATTCATAAATTTTACTAGATGGGCAAATATTGACAAAGATTTGGTGGATGGATAGATTTTACTTGTGTTATTCAATTGTTCATAAGTTGTGTGGACGAGCTAAACTTGATTCTTTATTTTGCTGGAATCTCCAATTTTGCTGCCTCCCACTGGAATTGTCCCTTAAGGTACAGAAAGGTTGCAGGATACCACTTAAGGTAGGTTAGATGCTCTGGAATAGTAGGATCGACTCTTGATTCTAAGTGCTCCTGTCTCAATTTATCTTATGTAGTTTGACTAAGTTCGAAGTTTAAGAAATATGATAAGACTTTGCAATGTTTCAGTATTATCCTTAAATATAATACACCTTTGTGAACTTTTTATCCAATGAGTGGAATCCAATATGAGTAAAATGTTGATAGTGTCATTAATTATTCGAAAAAAGAACAAATATATTTCCGAACTATCACAAATAATATGTCTATATCCAATAGGTTTTGAAATTTTAAAGTGGTTTGTGAAGTTTTATTTACTTTGGAAAAGGTCAAGGGGGACTAATTTGATGACCATATTGGATATGAAACTAAAAGATCAATCAAAATCTAGCTAACAATGGAGAATGAAACAATTCTAAAAATATAAATATTAAGGGCATACAAATATTTCTGAAAAAAAGATATTGCTAAATGTTTTATTTGTTTCACATATATATGTATCATTGTTTACCGTTCACAAATATGAAAATACAGATACATGCAAAAAAAAAACTTACTTTACTATACAATAGACACTATTGCCTTATTTATTATTCATCACCTTAAATAAAATTGGAATTTCTTTATGTCTATGTCTTTACTTAGAGAGACCAAATGGAGTAGCAATTAAATAAAGATCATTCTTTCTCCTGGCTGTTAATCCTTCTGTTTCAATCGTGTCCAAATCATTTGGATTAACTCCATTAGGAACCTTCCAATCAAAGTGGTAAAGTAATTGGGATAATGGATGTGCAATATTAACTAAACCAAATAACATTCCGGGACACATTCTTCTTCCTGCACCAAATGGAATAAATTCAAAGTGATTTCCTTTAAAGTCAATAGTACTATTCTCAAATCTCTCAGGTATAAAACTTTCCGAATTATGCCAATATTTGGGATCTCTACCAATCGACCATGCATTGACTAGAACTTTGGTTTTCACAGGTATTGTGTATCCATCAATCTTTGTTTCCTCTCTACATTCCCTTGGGGCTAATAGAGGAGCCGGAGGGTGTAGCCTTAATGTTTCTTTGATAACGAGTTGCAAGTAGTTCAATCCTTCCAAATCAGTATCGTTAAATGTTTTTTTCCCATCCAATCGTTCTCTCACTTCGAGTTGTGCTTTCTCCATGACATGTGGAGTTTTCATTAGTTCTAAAAATGCCCAAATTATTGTTGTTGAAGCTGTTTCAGTTCCTGCTAGAAACATGTCCTACATGTAAAATTAAAGGTATAAATATCGAAGTTAATAAGATTTATAATACGAAATAAAATTACAACTTTAAAATGCACCAGACTTACAAGTATGACTGCTTTAATGTTTTGATTTGTGATAGGAGGTCCAAATTCTTCGCTCTCCATTACTCTAAGTAAAGCATCAACAAAATCTTCATTTCCAGACTCACCATTATATTTCTTACCTTTTGCTCGATTATCTCGATGATCATTAACGATTTTCTCCAAGATTTCATCAACCTTTGAGTGTGCCTTTGATAATTTGGATTTCATTCCACTGATATTATGGAGCCACTTTTGGGAAGGGAACAAATCAGTTAAGTCGAATCCTCCAATTAATGAATAAATATCTTTTACCAACATTATAAACTTATTTCGATCATGTATGATTTTTCCAGATACTGACCTACAAGTTACAGTATTTGTAAACCAAAAGATCTTGTTGGATAAGTTGATCAATGAGTCAGGTGTACTGGAACGTAGAGATGATATGAGATTTGATATCTCTTCTTGTCGAATTGAAGCAAATGATTTGACCATTTTTGTACTAAGAAGTTCTAGGACACAAACCTTTCGCATATTTTTCCAGTAATCTCCATATGAACTAAAGGCTATGTCCGTGCAATCATAAAATATGATACTCGCAGACAAAATTTGTGGCCTATCTACAAAATGGAGGTCTTGAGTTTTCATGATTTCTTTTGCCATTTCTGATGAAGATACAACAATTGTTGAAATATTTCCAAGACGTAAGTGCATGATTGGGCCATATTTTTTCGATAGATTTCTAAGTGAACGATGTGGTAGATTGCTCATTAATTGATGCAAGTTTCCTATAAAAGGTAGTCTCCATGGTCCAGGAGGCAATGTTTTATTTGGTGATTTTGATTTCTTCCATTTTTGAGATACAAGGAAGAAAGAGGAGAGAAAGAGAACTAGTGAGATAAAGATGAAGTAGGGAAACTGTTGATACTCCATTTTGGAAGCTAAGAAAAAAAGGAAACATGCACACTTATATCTTATAGAGATACAAACATTATGTTTAGGTTTGTGTGTATGTATAATATTACAGAAATATTTGGAAATTAAAACTACGTACTTTTTCCGTTCTAATTTATATATGCTTATTGATAAATTTAAAGCACTAAAACTACTCAGAGTGTGATACTTAAAGCGAATTTACTATCAAAGATAATGAATCATTTTTGCCATATTCTCTAATTGTGTTTCACTTAACACAAAATTTAAGAAAAATAAATTTTAAAATTCATGGTATAAAATAAGTCGAAAATATTTTTTTAATTTTATTATTTCATTAAGTAATAAGAAAACACACATACTACTCCAAATTCCCAAAGAATCAAGTGGACATAATATCAAGGTAATAAGAAAACACTCATTAATGACAACTTTTGATGTAAGCCTGCAAAGGACCATTAGTTTAGGTGGCTAATCGAGAGAGGTGGACCATTATAGGGAGGAAACCATTTTTTTAAAAGATATTTTTAAATTTTCCATCAAATTTTTAAAAAATATTTTCTCTGAAAATTTCTTTTCTTAAAAATAAGGAAAAAAAATGTCTTCCTTAGAAATAGATTTTTCTTTCTATAATAAAAAGAATAATAAATAAACCTAAGAAAAAAAATGTTATTATTGATGTTGTGAATTAAACAACGTGAGGAAAGAAATGTAGTGAAGGACAATATATCGATGTGTCTCAATCAAATTTAATTGCTTGGAAAGAGAGACCTAGACATCTCCGATCCTATTATCTATTTTACTCTCTATTTCATAATATAAATTCTTTTTTTCTTTTTTCCAAATAATCAATTTATATTATTTTCATGTAATATAAAAATTTATTTTTTCAAGTTTTTTATTTAATATAACATTATATTTTATTTTAAATTTCTAAATAATATAAATTGCAAGCAAATATTATATAATACACAAATTAATGGACAATTCAAATAAAAGTGAAATCATTAATGAAATACAATTATATAAACATTACATAAATACTCAACTTTCAAGATTATTATGTTGCTCTCATAAATGCTCTATTAATGCATTACGGAGTTCAAAATTAAATGAACATTTTTTTCCTTTATTTTTTTTTATGTCAAGCTAAAAGTTATTCAAACCAAAGATTTTCATCGAATACCATTTATGTCGTTGCAGTTGGATCCTCTACAACATCTTGAATTGGTGCATTAAGATCACATTCATCCTCGATTATCATGTTGTAATTATCTAAAATAACTGTTGCGTGTAGTTATCCACAATTTTTTAAATTTACATACTTGCAGATAAGAAGCCATGAGTTCAATTCTATTAATCAGTTTGCAAAGTACCAGTTCAATTAATAGATTTTCTCAATATGTATTGAATTTATCAGTTCTTTGTGTTACACTGATTTTTCTAATCAGGTACCATTTGTCAGACCTTTTTTTATATACATTTGTTTCAGCTTTTTTGGGGGGTTTATTTTTGTGTTTGTTCATTTCTATTCTGAATCAGTATTTGAGATCTAAGGATATATATTTTGAATTGTTATTTTTATTTCAGTAATGTGATTATGATTATGATGTTATTGCTTAATTTAATAACATCATGTGTTGCTTATACATAATATCAATAAATTTGAGGGACAATAGATAAATTAACAAAGTCACATCAAAGTCTAAAAAAATGATGTTTAGACCCATATGCATGATTGTGGATAAAGCTTAATAATCATGATTATATCCATAAATTTTAATTCCATAAAAATCATTTTGAAATTTTTTTCTCCATGATTGCCCAAATTCAATATCTATGGGGCATTCTCATAATTTTAGATAATGGGTTGAGTTTTGTGTTGTTTTTTTGGCGTTGTAGGTTGCATGAAAGCAGTTTTATCCTACCAAAAATCAAAATTCCATCAGAAGTTAGAAGCAAGGATTTTATTATCCTTTAGGTGTGTTTCAAAGCTCTGTGTCTAAATTGATTTTAGACAACTTAAAATTATTTTGATTTATAAATATTATGATATTAGTGAAAAGATTAATTGTAACTGAAATTTTATTCATCTACTATTATATTATTTTTTATGTTTCAGGATATTGAACGACTCTTGAAAAGAGAAGTTGATCAAGTCAATCACCTTGTTAGTACCTATTTGAATGCGATAGTAATATAAAACTCATTTCGTATTTCCTATTTCTTTTCTTATCATGTATTTTGTTAAAAAAAGTTATTCATTTTTAAAAGAAATTTCTTCTCACTCTTTTGTAGGTATAATATGAATGGACAATAAATTGATGATGGCGCTCTAGACACTCGACTTGCTTGCTCTTCATTTTATTAATTCTAATAATTAAAGTATACGACAAAACAATCCATAAATTAACAAGTGAATATTGAATTTTATAAATTAATTTTAATTTATAATTTATAACATTTAAAAATATTTACGCAACACACGAATACACATATCAAATCAAATTATTTATGTTGATTTTTTAAAAAGCTATCACAGAAAAAATAAAGATGAAGTCAATGACCACTATAATTATGATGGATAAGGATCAGTGGAGCAACAATAATTGCATGAAGGCATGATTAGGAAGATAAGAGAGAGGGTAGTTGGAGGGTATGGACTATTAAAAATTGTAATTTTATCAATTTTTCTTATTTATTATGCATTTATTTAATATTTAATTTGTTCACGCAACACACAAGTACACATATCAAATCAAACTATTTATGTTGAATTTTTAAAAAGCTATCACAAAAAAAATAAAGATGAAGTCAATGACCACTATAATTATGATGGATAAGGATCAGTGGAGCAACAATAATTGCATGAAGGCATGATTAGGAAGATAAGAGAGAGGGTAGTTGGAGGGCATGGACTATTAAAAATTGTAATTTTATCAACTTTTCTTATTTATTATGCATTTATTTAATATTTAATTTGTTCACGCAACACACAAGTACACATATCAAATCAAACTATTTATATTGAATTTTTAAAAAGCTATCACAGAAAAAATAAAGATGAAGTTAATGACCACTATAATTATGATGGATAAGGATTAGTGGAGCAACAATTGCATGAAGGCATGATTAGGAAGATAAGAGAGAGGGAAGTTGGAGGGCATGGACTATTAAAAATTGTAATTTATCAATTTTTCTTATTTATTATGCATTTATTTAATATTTTATTTGTTCATGCAACACATTTGTTCACGCAACACAAGTATACATATCAAATCAAACTATTTATGTTGAATTTTTAAAAAACTATCACAGAAAAAATAAAGATGAAGCTAATGACCACTATAAATATGATGGATAAGGATTAGTGGAGCAACACTTGCATGAAGGCATGATTAGGAAGATAAGAGAGAGGGAAGTTGAAGGGCATGGACTATTAAAAATTGTAATTTTATCAATTTTTTTTATTTATTATGCATTTATTTAATATTT